TTGAATGGTGGGAACGGTGGTGGCATGGGATTTGTAATGAAATTATTGTCTGCCAGCTTTGTTAGAAGTGTCATTAGCTGTCATCAATTGTAAAACATTTGGGGCTGGTTAAAATGTGGAAGCGGTAGAGTTGGTAGCATTCGGCGTTGAACACCTCCTCGTAGCAAACGCCTCGTAGTAGTAGTAGGTGGACACTTCATTTCTTGATGTTTCATTTTTTAAAAATAAGTCTCAGATGAATGCACTTCCAAGTAACAACTGTGGCCTGGTTAGCACTGGTCTTAGTGGTCATACTGGGAGAACCCACAGCAGTTGGTTCAGAACATTGGATTGAACGGAGGGAACTTGCGATGGCATTTTTGGTGGGTTTTGACATGAGCTTTTCGTTTGCCTTTATCTAGCTTGGTGTTATCTGCACGCCACGAAGTGGTTGAAGCAAAGCCAAGTGCTGGGATTTGTGCTCTGTCCAGCAGCCGTTCCCACCAGGGGTCGGGCACGTGTCGTTGTACGACTGTGATTTCATTTCACAGCCTCGCAACGCTCACTCAGTGCACCATCCCTTCCCATTGCCATGCTAAAACCAAACTAATTTGGCACATTTTTCCCATGTAGGAGGTTGGCTTTTTTAATTCACAAAGTTAGTGGGTAATTGGGCGGAACTCTGGCTTTTTTTTTCCGCAGAGAAAACTGCCGTTTTCTGACTGCTTCCAGCTTTCAAGTCAGCATCAAACACGCGAGAGGAAATAACGTTCAGAAGGGGAAGGGAATTTCCTGGATGGGGAAAATAACCAAACAGACCCGGTGCGCTGAAATCAGTCCTCTTGAAGAGCTCGTGGAAGAGCGAAGCGCTACCGAAATCCCGCGGTTTGTCAGACACCGACTGTGCTTGGGTGAACAATAAACCCATTATTCCATTTGTTTTACCAAGTGGCTGGCTTCTCGTGGCTGGAGGAATTACTCATCCTCTGAATATTAGGCAGGGAGCTTCTGACAGGGTTTTTGCCTTCTCTTGACCTCCTGCTTTCTTCCACTCTTTCATTAAGGCTGCTCTACGAGAAACGGGGTGGTGGATGTGTCGCAGTCCTTAATGGGTCTTCCAATAAAGAATGAAAGCTCCTAATTGCTGATATTGGCTGTGCTTAAGTGTAGCCTCCACGAAAGACATACAGCAAGGCTAAGAATAGCTCGTTTATGAGCGCGGAAGCTCTGAAGCAGCATTACCTGTTCTGTCCTTAAATAAAACATCAATATATAATTCACTTGCTGCTTTTCATCTTCAGCAGACCTTGGACCATTCATTAAAACCCACAGGAGCTGCTTCGGTTTCCTAATTGACGCTGGTCTCCTGGCTACCTCAACCAAGGATTGAATGGTTTCAGGTCAGGATTTTTGGTAGAGAAAACAGCTTAATACAGGGAAAGAGAGAGTGATGGAGCGCAGGTATGCACGCAGTAAATCCATAAAGTGCTTAACCTTTTGGTGGCAATCGTCACTTAGATCCTGCTCCTCCTCCCACAGGAGGTGGTACACGGTAGGCTTTAGGAAATGGAACAGGAACCAGCATTTTTTTTGAAAAATAAAAATAACAAATAATTAAAAAGAAAAAAAAAAAAGATTTTCAGAGCTGTTGATGGGCTTGACAGATGATTGAGGCATTAGGTGAAGCAAATGTGACTTTTTCTTGTGTGACCAATGCACTTCCCCCAGGCAGCAGGCGATCGCCATGCAAATGTGGGCATTGGGAAAATGCAAATGAGTTCATTTGCATAGTTGGCCTGTCTGAACGCTAAAGAACGTGAGAAAAAAGAATAAACATTCTGCATTTTGATGTCATTTAGTATTAAATAGTTGGGGGTTCTTATTCTGCCGTGATCTAGATTTATAAAACAAGAAGTTGTATTAACATCAATTACAGTAATTTGGCTTCAGACTAAATATTCCAAATGAAGCGTTTGCAGCAAATCTGCTCCATGCCCAAGTGTATCAAGAGATGCACTCCCAGTGTGTTGGTCTTGGGGAAAAAAAATGGGAAATTAGCAATATGCTTTTTAAACATTTACTGGAAGCGCTTCTCGCCCGGTGCCAGGTGGAGCGAGCAACAGTAAATTAAGCACATTATTTATTGTTGGGAAATTAAAGAGACTTTTCCAATGTGGTGGTTAATGCTGGACCAGAGAAGAGTAATAATGATGCTTCCCCCGAGAAAAAAATAAAGCTTTTTTCTGATGTTATGTCTAAAGATGCAGATGGTGAGCACCTGGTTGGGGCAATGAGCAGGTTGGCATGGCGGTGGGATGGCAAAAAAAAATAAGTATTTGGGAGATGAAGGGGCTCAGCCCTACTACCCTTGGCCAGGATATCTACTGCAGGAATGCCTTGTACAATGGGTTTGGGGTTTTGTTTGCTGGAAAAGCAATATTTTACGGATGAAACATCTCGGGACGTGTTTCTACGTGATGAGGGCATGAAATAGATATTAGCCACCGCCTATACATTGCTATTTCTGCGCTGCAAGGAGCCAAGGTCTGCTGCATTTAGGATAGCGTGCTGGGTTTTTTTCATCGTGGGGCAGCTCGGCAGCACTGCTAGAAACAGAATCGCTTTGGGCTTTTTTGGACCAAGCCCACAAGCTGACTTCGAGTTCCTATTTAAATAGGGCCTTTCATTTTTTATTTTTTGGAGGACTGGGAATTATTCCTTGAGGCTGGTAAAACAGCATTTATTATCCGCCCTGAAGCATGTGCGTGTGTTTTGCAGAGTGTAAGCAATCTCCATACCACAGTACCAATTTAAAGCTGTTAAAATGTGTTACATTTACAGCCAAGGCAATCCAAACTCTTTCCGACGGAGCAAAGTTAATAGCCCAATAGCTGCAAATTGTGGGAATTAAATATCCCTTTCTTTTAACATCGCTTAGACTTGAAGCGATAGCCAATGTTGTTTTTTTTTTAATAATGTTTTCCTGCTACTGATCTCCTGTCGCGTATCTCGAACCAAAAAATCTCAGCAAAAAAATCTGAGATGTGGATGTACTGCCATTCATCTGCCAGCAAAATCTTTATTATTTCGGAATTACATGACTAAAACAATTTTTTTTGGTATGAATTTTAAACTGCAACCATGCAGAAGCAAACCAGGGCAATGAGTTGAAAAGCAACAGTTCAGGAAAAAAAGTTCTTTTTGCTTATGCCCTAGATCTGTGCACAGTCCTATAAACACAAATTTATTTCTTTTACCTCCTTCTGTTAAGATGCTGTGGATTAAACCATCTTGAAAAATACTATTGTGTTACCAGGCAATCAGGTATATTCCCAGTGCAGTTTTTAGGTGCTAGTACCAAAGCTGCTTTTAACTAGAACCCAGGGCAATAGCAGTAATTCACTTCTTTGCAGCTTTCCTTTTACAAGTCGCAATTTCCTTGTGACTGTCATATAGTTTGTAAGGGTAATTGCACTATGCTTATTGTTGGCTCTAAAAATCATTAATTTTAGTGCCACGGTTTCACATTAGCAACGTTTAATTATTTTTTAACAGAATAATGGTTGAAGTGAGATGGTTTTGAACTGGATTCTTACAGCCCAGATGGCAGTTAATCCATTAAAGTTGCATTAATATTTGTTAATGACAAAACAAGGGAATTACAATATTGCACAGCAGTCCATTTTTTTGGATAATTACGCATCTGTTAATCACTGGTACCTCGCAGGAGTGAAAAGCTGGAGCCGTTAGAGGCAAGAAGGGTTCAGGGCGCAGGATGGAGTGACAGTAGGAAAACTGTTGAGATAAATGATTAGGAAGCAAGACATGAAGAAGATGCTTATTAGAAAAAAAAAAAAGTGATAATACTTTATAAGTGATCGGTTGGTTTTAATATTTTTTTTCTCTGTGGAAAATCTGATTTCTAGACCAACTGTACTACCGTAATTCTGTACTTTAAAGATCTGCTTCCCTGTAAAGGAGCTCTAGATCCTGGTAACCCTGAATAAATAAAATATATATACATGAAAATATAATATATATATACAAACATAGCATGGGACTCTGCTGACACCTCAAATTGTGCCCTTGTGACTCAGCAGGTTATTGTTGTCCCAGCTTTGTGCTGAACTGAGGATTAAGTCTTGTGTTGCATGGCTCGTTCTCAGAGGCAATAGCTTGTTATTTTACAGCATTCTGCATTTACCCACCATACAAGAGGGCTTGCACGTGGAATTAACTTTAATTGGTGGTCTCTAGTGTGCCAGGGCTTGAATGTGAAGTCAAACTACGTGTGCTGTTTGCAGAAAGACGACAAGGTTCTTCTAGAGGAGGGTTGTACCAGGACACTTGGGCGAAACACGGAGTTTGAGTCCTTTACATTGCAGATGGGGAGCCTTCGTGGTCGCTTGAGTCACCACACTTAATGCTTAGCAATTTGCCAGCCAGCTGGAGGTGAAGTCGAAACGAAAATCAACCCTTGGTATAGCAGCCAAGCACTTCAGGTACAATGGGAAATAACTTGGCACGCACAAGATTGCACGGAGATCATTTCATTGACCAAAACCATGTGTAATTATGAAATTTAGTTTCTAAAGCTGCACAGAAAAAAAAAAAAAATCAGAAAACATATACCTGCTTCTCCGATTAAACACAAGCTTGCTTTTCAGCAATGCCTTTGAAGGTGTTTCTCCTTCTTTATTTGCTGGAAAAGTTTTAGTTCTCTGCCACCGCCTGGGAAAAAGCCCTGGCCTTGAAATGTGCGCTCTCCAAGGAGCTCCCTGCTTGGTATAGGCAGGGCATAGATGAGCTGGGGAAAGCCAAAGAAAGCTGCTAGAAATCCATAATGGCAAAAAAAAAATAAAAAAAAAATGAGGCGAGCATTACCACAGAGTAATGAAGCGCTGCACAGTTCGAAATGAGGTTCTGACCCACGCAAAGAATAACGACAACGGCAGTGTAAACCTATTTCTAACGCTCAATTAAAATATATTTACATGGATTTCTTCTTTCCCCCCTTTTAGGTCTGCTATTTTTCTTACGATGGAAAGGCTGGTTGTCTACCTACTGGTTATTAGCACAGCCGTGAAGGCCATGATGTGCCCCAAAAGATGCATGTGTCAAAACCTGTCTCCGTCCTTCACCATCCTCTGTACGAAGACGGGGCTCCTCTTCGTGCCCCCCAGCATCGACAGGAGAACGGCAGAGCTGAGGCTGATGGACAACTTCATCACGACACTCAGGAGAAAGGATTTTGCGAACATGACCAATCTCATTCACTTGACGCTGTCGAGGAATACAATAAGTCAAATCATGCCTTACGCATTTTTTGATCTGAAAGGCCTTCACGCTTTACACTTGGATAGTAACCGACTGACCTATATCAACGAAGATCATTTCAAAGGTCTGATCAACCTTCGGCATTTAATACTCAGTAACAATCAGCTAAGCTATATCTCTCCCGGCTCGTTGGATGACTTTATTGAAACCATCGAAGACCTGGACCTGTCCTACAACAACCTTGTGAACGTTCCCTGGGAAACAATCGCCAAACTTTCCAACGTCAACACGGTCAGCTTGGATCATAACCTCATCGAGTTCGTGCCGGAGGGAATCTTCTCCAATCTTCACAAGCTTGCCCGTCTGGACATGACCTCCAACAAGCTGAAGAAGATCCCTCCCGATCCGTTGTTCTCCAGGATCCCCGTGTACGCCAAGTCCAAAGGATCTCCGCTGTCATCTTTGGTGCTGAGTTTTGGGGGCAACCCTTTGCACTGCAACTGCGAGCTGGTGTGGCTGAGGCGCCTCACCAGAGAAGACGACCTGGAAACCTGCGCCTCCCCGCCGGAGCTGATGGGCAAATACTTCTGGTCCATCAAAGAGGAGGAATTTGTCTGTGAGCCCCCGATGATAACGCACCGAACCCCCAAGCTAACCGTAACGGAGGGCCAAAGCGTCTCTTTGAAGTGTAAAGCTGTGGGCGATCCGGACCCCTACGTTCGCTGGATTGCACCCGACGGGAAGCTGGTCTCTAACACCTCGAGGACGATTTCTTACGAGAACGGGACCCTGGATATTTTGGTGACGTCTCTGACGGAGAAGGGCACGTTCACCTGCATCGCATCAAATGCCGCGGGAGAGTCGACGGCTCCGGTGGAGCTCCTCGTTACCCCGTACCCCAACCTCGCTAACAGCACCAACTGCGATAAAGACGCGGAGCCAGGCCCCTCGGATATTCTGATATCTGCCAAGTCGAGCTTTCCGAACGAGACGAAGGCTCAGCAAGAGAAGGTGGTGGTGGTCGCCGAGCTGACCTCGTCCTCTGCTCTCATCCAGTGGCCTTCTCAGCACCACCTCCCCGGGATCCGCATGTACCAGATCCAGTACAACAGCTCCTCTGATGACATCCTCGTCTACAGGTAACCCCGCACCTCCTCCCTCGTGGAGGTGGAAGCAAGAAAGAGGTGATGAGAGCGTGGGTTGAATTATTCCCTGCGACGGCAGCTAATTGCAGGCGGTGGCTGTGAACGAGGGGACAACTTTGCTCGTTAAATTCCCATCGTTGAGGAGTTGTGCTGTAAAAACTCATAATGCACCCGCTTCTCTGCTGCCTCTCGAGGATCTCTAAGCCCTTTACAGCCATAATTAATCTTCAGAGTCCAGTTTAATGGACGGAGCGAGGCTGATGAGCATTATCTCAGTTAATACACCCAGGGAAATTAAGATGGAAAGTTTAGTTACCTTTCATGCTGATTAAGTGGAATTGCTTTACCTAAATATATAGGAAAGAGAGGAAAATCGAGATGCCCAAATCTGTGAGATGTCCAGAGATGCCCCAAGGCCACATTTTGCCTGTATGGCAAATATGCGTGGCCATACTATGTCTCTTGTGTATTATGCCAAACCTTCAGCCCCTAAAAGTCATCACGCAATTCCTCTATTCCACTTCCATGGTGTCACAGGGACAAAGCTCACGGAGGGAATTGGACGTTGCCCGGGAAGCTTTAGGTGATAAATTTTGTGTGGGTTTCACTTTTAAAGGCGCTGATTCATCGGCTGGAGTTTATTTGGTAAAATTTACTCGGGAAGTAACTATTTGCTGCTCAGCTTCAGCGGATGTTGTGCAGATTTTTATAGTTGCTCCCTGGGCAGGGCGGTTGAGTTTCTGATTACATGCCTTGCTGCTTATAGGCTTTTGTTTGTGATTAGCTTGGGGGGGGGAAAGAGGGGTAGGCTGACATTAAAGCAGGAGCCAGCATTTGATACGGAGTTAATATTCCAGAGTTGTGCATTTCATCAACTTCTCTAAACCAAGCCATGATGATTTACCTAATGTAATGCTGCTGGTTGCACTAAGGTATGGGGAGGAATAAGCAAAAGGGGAATTGCATCTAACAGCTGAAAGGCTGGGTTCAAATATACTGCTTTAGTAAGCAGTCCCCTAAGGAAGGGAATGTAGGGTAGTTGTTCCCCTGGGATTCGTATTTCAAATGCCTACCTTTGCAGGCAAATTCTTGTTAAAAAAGATTAAAAAAAAAATAAAAAATAAAAAGGAACTGCATATGAAAAATGTTGAAGTCCTTGAAAGAGACTTTCACTTTGCAGTCGCTTGGGATTTTTAAAAGCCTCATCTTAAAATGCCCATCCTCAGAGTCCCTGTGGGGAAGGATGCCATCCTGGCGTTGCCATGGCTACGGGCTGGAAAGGATGCGGAAAGACTGGGTGAGGATAAGCAAGGACCTCTGAGGAAGTGGTGGGAGGGTGGTTGTTGGTATCTGATGGAGGGCGAGGAGCTGGCTGGGAGCTGAAGCCTCATTTAATTGTCATCTGCAAGCACATTTGTGACACTGCTGCTGGAGGGATCTGCAAAGTTGTGAAACGCAGGGAAACACGGAGCGGAGATGTCTCAATAGCTGGTGGCCGGGGCTTCTAAGGGGCGTTGATTCAATTTTTGGAGTAAATCTCAAAGTAAATCCAAGCACGGCGAGCAGCAGGCTGGGGCTGGGCAGGCAGTGGGGTGCAGTGGGTGCAGGATAAGGGTTGTTTGGTGACATTCGTGCATCCTTTCCCATAAGACTGGTCGGATGACTTGGCAGCCTTGGTGCAATCGCAGTGATTTGCTCTTGGCGAATTTTACCTTCCCAAAGCCTCCGACTCATGCGACAGCTCGTTAATTAGTCAGTCTGCAAAGAGCTGAATCGAATGCTCTTGCTGCTGAACGCTCTTGTGCCGAAAGAAGAGCCATGTGGAAGAGATGGGGAAGAGTGCTCCATCTGCATGTCCCTTTCTCAGCCTAAATTCCCGTTAAGTGAGAGGCCCAGGTTGATGACCAACAGATAAAACACTTGATGCTTTAAGTCACAGAGCAGCGATTTCAAGTAATGTAATACACCCTAGTGTAATGGGCCTCTCCGAGATGAAAATTTGCGTGTTCTCCTTCAGTTCCCACAGCGAGCAATCATCAGCTAGAGATCCTTAAAGGAAGTTTTCGTGCTAAAGTGATGGGAGTGGTAATTGGGCGGCAATTCTGCATGTGCAGTTATCTGCACTGCTCCTTCTTCAAGCCAGGCTGTAAATGTCAGAGCGATTTAAGCTGAGCGCAGTAGCAATTAAGCAATTAAGCACTGCACACCATGTGGCTGGGGAGCCAGGAGCCCTCTGCTTGCTCGCTGCCCCTCTCGTGTGGTTAAGCCCAGCCCGTGGCACCGGTGTATAAAATCTGTTCCGCGGCATCAACCTGGTGGTGGCTGGGGATGCAAAGGATGCGGAGATTCCCAGCAGAGGTGTGGAGATGTGCAGGATCCACAGGAATTCAGCCCTGCCAGAGGAGCTGGATGGCGAGCTGCCTTCCACCTCCAGCACAGGTGGAGCTCTGGCGCCGTGTAATTTATTTCTGGCAGGCAACGCCTGGGAAAAGCATTAAACGGTGCAGGATGCAGCAGAGAGCCGTCCCTTCCGTCAAGTTGAGTGGTACCACGGGTGAGCAGTTTCTATGGTAACTCTGCTTTATCTTGCGAATTTTAGCTGCTCCTTTGACTCCCTTATTTTTCCTCACCTTCCCGTTGCCTTCACCCTCTGGGTAGGTATTTCGGGGTAAGTGCACGCCTGTCTGTGTCTGCGTTAGGATGCTGTGAGAGTAAAGGTGATGTTTTTCCTAATTTTCCTTCTGGACTGCCACCAATATTTCTGGACGAGAATAACGTATGGACCCTATGTGCATGTAAATGCACCATAATTCCCCTTGCTGCTCCCACCTTGCAGCCCCACAGCATTTTCCCCAGTGCTGAATACGGAAAGGGGACCCCAAAAAATTAGGAGTTGTGCATCTGGCTCTGCTCGTCTCGGGTGAGTCACTTAAATTCCCTCTGGAGTGACCACGGCACTGACCTGCCTCCTGGGAAGGAGGTGAGGTTTGGTTAGCAAAACCAAGGGTAGGTGCTAGTTAGGGAGCAAGAAAATTGCATCCGAGTGAAGCATCGGGCACGGTGAGTAGCAATGATCCCGAATCAGTAAATTAAGGCGCAGGTAGCAATTTGTGGCAAGCATCAATATTGAAAGCAAGAGCTTTGTTTGTTTGCAGGAGAAAGGTCAGGAAGTGGCCCCGTGCTGCCGTTGTACGGAGTGAATCAAGAATCGTAATAGCCACTTTCTTCTCGGGGATATAAATGGGTCTGTATTCTTTAACCAGCTTCCAATCCTGATGCTGATTACAGTCCCCGCGCGGCTTGGACTTTCACAATGCTGTAATTTTAGTTTAACTGTCACTGCTCAAGTGGCCTGCCCAGGTTTCCAACGTTAGCCTCGGGGAAGAGATAGCAGCAGAACTGCCTTCCGATACCAAAACAGTCATTGTGCCAAACCTTACACAAGCTTTGTGAGGTGATAATTAATCCGAGAGTGAAACCACCCTATTTTTATTTTGGCTGCTTTGTCATGAGGTGTATTTGTGTGTACATATAGAGATTCCATTTCTTCTGCCTGTTAAATGAGCCCGTATACATATTTATGAAAATAACTCCTTTTAGGTCGCAGGAGGAGGCTCATCGGAACACAAAAAGGAGCGCAGGGGAGCGGTGACACGAACCCAACCCCCTGCAGGGGCTCCCGTTTTGTCTGCCGGTGTTTCCTCAAATGGCCAGCAAACTCAAACCCGTGACGCTGCCTTTCTGAGATGAACTTCAATTTGTACCGCCGCTGATCGAAGCAGCAGATTACTAATGCTTCATAACAACCTGATTGATGCCCGAGTCAATTAGGAGCTGGCTCTCATAACATCAAAGGCAATAGTCTCCGAAGCATTGAATTTATTCTTTTATAGCTGGTGATCATCTAACTTTAATTAGCCACAACTACAGGCTATAAATTAGAAGATCAGTATTTAGCAGTGATGCTTCTCTATAGATAATTGAGAGACTGTATATTGCATAAACCAGACGATAATATGTCCTTGTTTTCGCTGTTGAGAGGAAAAAAAATTAGAAATTGAGAGGCAGATCACTTTTAATAGGGAGTACAAAGTACTGTTGTTTAAAGGGCAGAGCTGTCACTCTCGGGGAAAAGGTGATATATTGCCAGATCGATATAGCAATGATTACATCTGTTGCGTGAAAAGCAGTTGGAATCAGCCACGCTACGTCTGCTCAAAAAAAATAAATAAATCCTTAAATTAGTTCAGCGCGGTGCGATGGAGAAGCAGCAGGACGATGCCAGATTTCGAAGACCTTGCACGTGCCCCGCATGGTTGGAGGGATGCGTGTGGGTTGGAGGAGATGCGTTGAGGACGATGCGGTGATTTTGGTGTGCGTGGGGATTGTCGGGGCTGTCCGTCCTATCTGTGTGCCGGCGGCTCCTCGGGGCTCGAAGAAATCCTGGTCGAATGGTCACGGTTGGGTTTCTTCACCTAGATGACCTCAAGAAAAGAGGAGGGAGCAAAAGAAGTTGGGAAATGCGGGAGCCACTGGTGTCTGGAAATCGGAGGGATCGCGTGACGGTCGCTCTTTGGGTTGCGTTTTGGTAGCTTTTTTTTTTTCCTTATCTTGCGACGTAGCTGTTGTCATGGCAGTTCCCAGGCTTCTTTAGGGAATTTCTCCTTGGAAACCTCCGCAGGTTTCCCTTGATTGGAAAAAAGCCTTCTGGGCTCGTAGCTGGTGTGCGCCGAGTTAATGAGGATTTCCCTTCCGCAGCTGGATTCCTCGCAGCACGGGGGACGTTTCTCCATTGTCCTCCCCACGTCCCTTTGGTCTTCGTTAAAGAGGCTGCCCAGGCACTGACCGCTGCTGGAGCTTCACCATGGCTTATAAATTAAGCAGCCCTCGCAGATTCAAATATTGGCTGGCAGTTGTTGCACGATGGAGCAGAACATCCAAGCGTGAAAAAATCAATGTCTTTTTTTTTTTTTTTTCCCAAACATTTCAAGTTTTTGAAGGGGGAAAACCTTCCCGTGTCGCCCCAGCTGTTCCAGAAGTATGGTTTTTTAATAGCCCAAGTGAGAATCGATGGTTGCTTCTATCGAAAATTTTGGCATGATTCGTGTGAAAGCTTCATAACTCCATCTTTCGGTGTGTGGTCATTTCGTCTCCAGCCTGTAGCATCAACCACGTGAATATAATTCTGCTGAAAGATGCAGCCAGCAGCCCGGGTTCAGGAAGAGACGAGGATTTTATGCTGAGAACAGTCTTGTTGTTGTTTTTACCTCCACAGATGCCATAGATCACATTCAGATCTCCGTGGATGTTTCTGCGAGATAAACAGACTCTACACTGATTGCTTTTTAATCCCTTTAATCAGTTGAGTAAACTGGGTGCTCGGGAGCTTGTTGACAGAATTGGTTCAAAAAGACAGAATTGGTTCAAAACGACAGAACTGGTTCAAAAAGACAGAATTGGTTCAAAAAGTTTCCAAAAGGTGGGGTCCCTCCAACACCTCAACCTCCCCATCCCTTCCTTCCCCCCCTGCACCTTCCCCTCCGACTGGAACCACTGAAAGGGCAGGAAAGAAGTTCAGTTTTGCAAACCGTATTATATTTTCTTATATTACCGTTAATTAGAGTCTAAACAAACCAAAAAAAAAAAAAAAGCTCCATCTCTGTTTCAAGCTGCTCGGTTTATTTTGGGTTTGGGGTTTGCTTTTTTGTTGTTGTTGTTGACAGTGTTGCTAGGAAATATTTCCCATCCCACAAAACGGTGTTTTGTCAAATTTTTTTGTGAGCAGATTTCACAGTTGAGCTTTCACCAAAGGGCTTTACTTGTTCCTGGCTGACTGCAGATGGCAGGGGAAACTCTGGCGTGGATTATGGGATGGAGGCTGTTGCTCTTAAACCACTTACAGGAAAACGATTTGACGGATTTGCACCTAAAATTGTGGCTTCAGCAGTGTCTAGAGGTAACAGGAGGCTGAAATGCGAATTAAGATTTTTTGATAAAAGTCTAATTATTGGTAGTTATGGTGGAATACAAATGCGAACATTTCTTGAGGAATTAAAAGACAAAAAAAAAAAAAAAAAAAAAAAGCAAAAGCCCCAGAAAGAATAACCAAGGAAAAGTTTTTTGCATCCCCCTTGGGAATCTCGTGGCAGATAAAACTCTTTCATTTTTTGCATCACTATTGTGAAATGTCTTTCATTCAAAGTAATTATTTCAGCAGATTTTGATTGCTGAGAGCTCCGAGTTGGAGACGGAGCCACGGGTCATGGAGAGACCGATGAGTTTTTATCCTGCTGACACCCACGGTGTCCCCAAATCCAGTCTCTTGGGTTGTCACAGGTCCTCCAGCACCCTCGATAGGCCTGGACCTACATAGTCCACTCCACTCGAGCTGTTATTAGGTCAAATTAAGTGTTCCTGGGAATGTTTGTTCTGCTTTGTAAACCCTGGACCATGGGTTTTAGTGGAACGAGAAAGCTCTCAGGTGACACGTTTGCTCCCCAAACCTACCTGTGTGCTTTAGGGTGGTTCCTCCTCATCCGTGCCTGGCCCTAAAGGTCTGCCAGGTTCGTTATAACCATTACAGGCAAGCCCGTGCTAATTGTCAAGCTGATTTGATCCTTTTTAGCCTTACTACATAAGGTAAATCAGCTGCAGGGAGGACAGAAGTAAATGCTCTGCAGGCAAAAGCACGAGCACACGCAGAGATTCAGCCCTGACTGCCTGCATACGCAGTTCTGAGCTGTCCTTCCGAATTTGTAGAGATTTCCTTGAAACTTCCTAAATATGCCAAAATAGCTGCCTTTCCCTGGAGACATGCCTGGCCAGAACTGCTTAGCCACTGATGAATCCTTATCTGCTGCCTTATCAGGACTTCACGCTTCTCCTTCTCCATGTGGTTGAAAATAGCCTCGCGTTACCAGAAAAAAAACGATAAAATTCAAATACATATTTGGCCTTATTCAACGTTTGTGCTGAGGATTTAGAACCTCCTCTTTTTGGGATGATGATGACTGTAGAAGTATTTCAGCGCATGCTGTACATAGCTTCCCATGGTAATTAGCCAAATTTCAATACCAAGCCCTTCACTGAATAATCCCGACAATAACGTATTGCAGAAAGTTGTTTGAAAGAAGAAAAATGAGCATCAAAGGCTGCTGAATAAGCCAGATAATGCGGACATTAGGAAAACGGTACTTTGCATAATTTTTGGCAATTACACCTCCCTCTCACAGATGGGCAGGCTCCTAAACACTACAAGATGCTTTCTGCGGGGTGTTTGCTATCGATTGCTTCTCGTTGCTCAGCTGGTCTTCCAGGCAGTGCCTCCTGCAGCCGTTCTCTCTGACATCCCTTAATTTTTTTTTGGTGTGTTGTGCCCTGAGGTCGGGTGACGGTTTTGTTGATGTCAAGCAATTTTAGACGTTGTGCCGCGATCGGATGCAGTCGCCAGTGGTATTTTTCCAGGGGGCACGGCTGATTTTTAGCGGTGAAGGCAGACGAACAAAAATCTCCGCCTCGTCAGTGTGACAAGCAAAGATCTTCCCTTATGCTTAATTTTCGAGCAGTTTGGTATTTGAACCGACTCCGTGCTCATGCTGGGATGCCCAAACCCCAGCAAGCTTTAAGGATGAGGCAGGGCTGCTGGCCAGAATAGGCCATGAAGTTAGTTCCCCAGTCCATCTCTTGGGGTGGTTGGTCACTATAAAACAGGGCTGAGCGGAAGCCTGAAATGTTAATTAGCTATTTATCTGATAATTGGCCATTGGTGTGTGTTTTGGGATGGTGAAGGTCAGGCCATGAATAATTCCGAGGGCTTGTTCTGCTGGTCTGCAGCAGTTGCTAACCTTGTACATTTTCCCATGCATTAATGCTGGATTTTTTTTCTCGTTTATCTTATTTATCTCAAATTTATTTCTCATTATGCACACACCAGGACTTATTAATGCCGTTTGGGTGTTTCAGGTTGACAAATGGGTCTTTGCGCAGCTTCCTCTCCAACCCTGCCTTTCCTGCAAAATAATAATAAAAAAATAATCTCATTAGCCCTAAAGCCCAGCCCGTGGCCACATTCTTTGCAGGTCATGAAGCTGCTGTTAGAAATGAAGAGTTGAGGTTTGGGAAATTCAGATTGGAGATAAGGGGGAAAATATCTACTAGGAGGGTAGTTCAGTGCTGGAACGGTGCCTGGAGAGCTCGTGGAAGGTTTTCAAGGGTTGGCAAGGTAGACGTGTGGTTGACCTGAACTTCTGTTGGGGGTAGGCTCTGAGTGGGATGCTGGGCTGGAGATCTCGGGGGATTTCTATGAATGATGGTACATGGGCATTTTTTTTTTCCATATTTACAGAAAATTGGTGGTTCTACATGAAGTAGGCATGCGTCTGGAGATCATTCCTTTGAAGGTGTAGCTCTTCTTTCTTTCCAGTCTAAATACACATAGTCCAATGGATGACTACGTGGAAAAAAAAATGTATGATAAGCAGAAAGTTTGGGTGTTTTTTTTTCCCTCTTTTAATGGGAAACAGAGCTTACGATTCTTCTGTTTTTTCTTCTTATTTTAAAAGGCTTGGTGGCCAGGAGAAGGCCACGTTCCCACTCACTTTGAACAAATGTAGTTTGTTTAAACTGACTCCTCTGCAACAGCCCCGCTTCGCTCCAGCGAGATATCTGAGCCAAATATACAGAGAGCTGATCTGCTGTGAGATATATTGGGATTCATACGGTCATTACCGTGGTCTGTGGGAATGTGTTAACACAGCACACAGCTGGGATCCTGGGATCCTTTTCATCTGTTGGTTTAGTGCCCATTCATGCTTCTTTGTGGTAAATGAATAATTGGAATTTACGCAGAACAATCCCAAGGTTAGGGCTGGATGCAGGGGAGGAGGTCGGTCTGTGCTGTTATTTGAGTAGAGAAGATGCCACGTAGCTGTGAGTGCACACTGTTTTGCTCTAATTGTTCTTACTGGCTGCCTGATTACGAGACACTGAGCACCATGGAGCTGCTGGAAGGTGGGAATGAGGTTAATCTGTGGACCAAAGGTTGGAATTTGCCTTTTTTCCTTTCGTCTTCGCAATGTGCTTCCTGTGGGTGTAAGATTACTGGAATACATTTTAATTACCGAGTGTTGCAGTTGATCCTGTTCTGCCTTTTAAGCCCTTAAGTATGTTCCTTTATAGATTTTCAAACGTTGACAGTATTCCATTCCGCATGGGGCACGTAATGCCCCCTTTTAGGCTGAAACTGCAGAAATTGAAGATAATGCAGATCAGAACAATAAATCATGTCTGACTTCTCCTCCAGCCACCACAAGCTTGTGCATTCCAGCCCATGTTTGTTTGAAATGGCCGAGGTAAAGACATTTTCGCTGCTAAAATCTGTATTTTCCGTCCCTACCGAGTAACCCAGGGAATGCTAGCTGTTTCTGCTTGTTCCGATTGCCATGCTTGTCTTCTGCTCTGCTGGTTTCCTTACAGCAGGCACTGATAGCTTGAATTGGTCTCCTTAGGTTCGATCAGCTTGGATGTTTACTGTACTTATTTTCTTTTCCAGGATGATCCCTGCTGCTAGTAAATCCTTCTTCTTGACTGATCTGGTTGCAGGACGTGAGTACGACCTCTGTGTCCTTGCTGTTTATGATGATGGCTTGACATCTTTGACTGCAACCAGAGTGATCGGATGCGTGCAGTTCACAACCCAGGAGGAATACAAGCAGTGCCGATCCCTTCACGCGCAGTTTCTTGGAGGAACCATGATCATCATTATTGGGGGCATCATTGTGGCTTCAGTTCTTGTCTTCATTTTCATCCTCCTCATGAAATACAAAGTCTACAACAATCACCACAAAAACAAAACTACTAAAGTTAATAACGTCTGCTCTCAAACCAATGGAAGTCAAAGTGGCTCGATGGCTCGATCCACTTCTAAACTGGCAGAGAGGCGGGAAAGTTTGCACCAGGAGTGCTCGGGATCTTCCAGCAAAGGAAAAACTGTTGTAGACTTGGATTGTGAAAAAGTGACTCCAACCAACACAACGTTTTTAACAACCGATGCGTTATCTTAATGGCCATTTGACAGGACACACCAAGGTGGTATTGCTTGAAACATTTTAATGCGAGTGGTTGTATTTTAAGCTTCACTACTATTGTCTATTTTTAAGATCAGATGGTTTAAAAAATATTTTTTTAATCTGTAAACAGTTCTTGCATTCTTAACTATTTTGTTTCAATATATTAAATATAAGTGTGTGATTTACAAGATTTTTTTACTGGTTCTTTTATAGCATACACCTCTGGTATCAAGGCAGCAACATAGCTAAATTCTGACTAGGTTTGTCTGTAGTGAAATGCACTATTTTTTCATTTGGTTACTGACCAGCAGCAAAGACGTACTCTCAGGATCTTCAGACTTCTTTTCTCACAGCAGAGTCACCAAACTACTCATCTCTTCAAGGAATGATGTGTTATAGAAAGTCTCAATGCGGAGTTATTTATTGCCATAGGTATGTTGTATACATGCTGCTCACAAAAGAAGTAAAATTAGTAGAGGTTCCCTATGGAAAAAAAATAAATAAAAATATAAGCACTACTTTAAAAAGAAAAGAAATAAAGAAAATTGAAAGTACTTTAAGTACTTTACCATATTCTCTTGGAATTATTCGCTGGCACAGAAATATGGACTCGTATTGTTTGCTTTGTAACAGCTGTTATCTGTCTAGGCTGTGCCTTCGAGAAACCTCCTCTTGTTCTTGGAAGTCAGATTTACCTCTGGGCAGGACGAAGCCCCCGCTTTTTGTTCTTCCTAAATTGTAAAACTTCACGAACCGGTTGAAATCAGGTGTGTTCCACTGTGCACGTTTTTGCTATGCTGAAACCCATGCCATAGTCTCCCGCTCCGAAAGCTGAAGGTATTTTTCTCTCTTTTTATTTCGGTGGTAAATTTGCTGAGCGAGGACCCGCAGATGAAAGCTCCCGTGTCCTGAGGCACACTGCACAATCTCACTGTGACACCTCATCTTCCGATGGCTTTTATACCAGTCTCTTCTTTCTGTAATGCTGCATGAAGTGTAATGTAACTGGCTGATAGATGAATTATGTGAATGTGTCCGGTCAAGTCATTTTAACGCATCATATGGAATGAAATGTTCCTTTTGTTTCAAGGGATACTGGCAAATCGAGATGGACCCAAAGTTTAGGTTTTGAAATATGCACAAGAGGAATTGGTGACCTCGACCAAACAAAATGTCATCTCTGCCATCCTCATTGGTCGCTGATCCTTTGCAAAGTACCTAGCTCTGTAAACAAAACAAGAGAAACCAAGGATACCTTTTATTTATTGAAGCTCAAGAAACGGAACGAAAAAGCAATTGACAGGAGAGGCTTGCGAGCTGAGTGACTTTACATCTTTTCAGGTGATTGAGATCTAATTTAGCAAAGAAAAGTATTTCTCCTAACGTTGTCCCTTTAACTGTCTATAAATATTTCTCCTGTTTGAATATGAAAGAATGCTCAAGAAAAGTTACCTGGTGGACAGCTGGAAGCTGTTTAACTCCACTAAAATTAAATACTATATTTTAATACAGTTAGTCTCACTAATTGCCTAAGTAGAAGGCATTTTCTTGAGGTCTCTATGATGCCCAGATTTGGTGAGGTCCGTGTTTTGTTCTGATTCCCAAACATAAATTGAGAAAGAAGTAATTGGGAGAAGGGAGGGGAGGGGGATGTCTGTTATCAGGTATATTTGTGAAAGTGAGATAAGGTTGTGCAGCTACACTCATATCAGTTTTCTTTTATTTAATATATATATATCTTTTCCCACTCACAAAATTCAGTGCTGGAATTTGAACATGCTTTTCTGAATTACTGCAACCTGACTGCTACGAGTATCATGAGTGGCTCAGCCCACCTGCACATTAAATCAATTTATTGGTGACATCCTGCCATTTTCTGCCAGTAGCAATTTCTGTCATGCCCTTTTATTTGGTACCTACATGCTAAGTATGAAAACTCTTCTGTTGCTGAGCAGCATCTCGTGGGATTCAGGGGCTGGAGCTGGAAATGCTGTATTTTGACAATTTGCGGTGTGTACTCAGGCTGTCCATCTTATCTTCAAACTGGTGTGAGTTGTGCTGGCATCATCCTTGCTTGCCTGTGACAGCAGCAGCAAACTGGATTTGTTTTAACTATTACTCCCTTAAATAGAATTGAGGTTTGGTGATTCTCTCCAGGTTGTTTTAGGAGCTCGAGGTTGGAAGTGACTCTGAGCTCCTGATGTCTCTGTTATACAAGCAGAAAAGTGTGGAAAGCAGCAGAAAGCCAGAGCCCACTGATGAACCCTCTACAATTACTCTATATAAAGTTAGGGAACAGATTATTCTAGTAATTATATATATATAAAAAAGAAATGACAGACAATGCAGTCATTAGACAAAGCCAGTATGGGTTCACAAAGGGAAAGTCCTGCCATGTAAACTCATGATCTTTCTAGGACAAGGTTACCCACCTGGTGGATAAAGGGAAGGTAGTGAGTTTGGGTTCGTTTTTTTAGTCTTTTGTTGTTATTTTTGGATTTTAGCAAAGCTTGTGGTGCTCCCTCACTATCAGCTGGGCATGGGCACCATAGGATGGGGGAACAATTAGCTGAAGGGTTGGGCTGAAAGTGTTGTAACTGGGGTGACATCAGCTTGGTGGCCCATCACTGGTGGTGCTCCCAAGGCTTATTTTAAATCAATTTTTCTTTGATATTGATAGCAATGACCTGGACACAGGAGTTGAGTGCACGCTAAGTTTATGGGTGATGTTGAATCAGGAGCCAGTGGTTTTCTTGGGGGTTGTAGAGGCTTTACAGGGAGATCGTGGTAGATCAGAAGGAGGCAACGCTACATGGACGTGCCCTGAGGAGGGCCATGAAGGTGGTGTAAGGACCGGTGGCCATGGTGTGTGAGGAGCAGCTGAGGGGCTTGGGTTGTGCAACTGGGGGTGCCTGTGGAGCCTCCATGAGGGGACAAATGGTGGTAAAAGGTGAGGGAATGGCGGAAGCTGTGTGAGGACATTTGGGACAAGTCACATTTGAGGCGCAAGCCCCACACCTGTGGGTGCTCACAAAGGCTCATGGCGACCAGGCCTCAGCTGGGCCTGTTTGGAGGACCGGGGGGGCGCCATGAGTAGGCCTCGCTGGTCCTCCAGGGGGTCCCTTCCTGCTCAGGCCACTCCGCAACTCTATGGTCCTGCCCTCCTTGCGCATGCGCGGTTCAGCGCCTCAGCTCCCTGCCGCCACGAGGCGGCGCTGCACGCAGCCCCCCCGTGCGCATGCGCTTCCCCCCCCAGGCATGCTGGGAGTTGTAGTCCTCCTGGCCTCCAGGCCCCCCCCCCCTCTGTTTGCATTTTTTACACTCAGAGCCCTCTTTCTTCTTTTTTTTTCTGCGTGTATTTCACCCCACAACGCTAATTGGCCACCAAATCCCCTCAAGGCGTCTCCAATTTCCACTTTTCACCCGCTTGGCTCCCCAGGAACCCACCTGCACCCCAATGTGCCCTCTGAGGCGCTCCAGAGGCCTCCATTTGCCCTTTCAGCCCCCTTCAGCACCCTCAGACCCTCAGGACCCCCTCATTTGGTCCTCCTTGCACCCCAAAACCCCCCGCTGGCTTTCAAAGTACCCCTAAAAACCCCACACCTGGCCCCGTGGCCTCCACAATACCACCTGGGCCCCCTCTGCAGGCATTAATTATGTTCCAGAACCTTCTGGTGCCTCTTCACCCCCCTTAAACCCTCTCTATTCCCCTCAAAATCCCTCCTGAGGTGCTCCTTAAGCTCCAAAAACCGTATTTTTTTCCCATAGTGGTTCCCTCAGCATCTCCGCGGATTTCTCAGGATTATTTCTGAGGACCTCGTGGGCCTCAAAAACCTTCTTTCTGGAGGTTTTTGTGTGACCAGAGGTGTATATGGGGGTACTGGGGGGGTTCCTGAGGGTCTGGGTTAGTCCTGGAGGATTTTTAGTAGGTTTTAGGGGTGCTGTGAGGGTCCTGGGTGTTTCTGAGGGGGGCTCTTAAGGAACTTGGAATAATCTGGGAGGGTCTTGGGGTTACTGGGAGGATCCTGGTGGGCTCCAGGATGTACAGCGAGGCTCTGGGGGGGTACTGGGGGCACTGGGATCACACTGGGTGGCTCTAAGTTCTGTAGGGGATGGTATTAGGGGGCTATGGGAGCAGAAAAACACAAAAATAAGGAAATATTTCTAGTAACATCCTCTTTGTAGGTCATTTCCTTCCAAAAACCTAGACAACTGCTGCTTTTAAGTGCTTTGAGTCTCGTCATCTGGTCCCTTCCCGTATCTCCAGGCTTAGATGCTTCAACATCCCAGAAGATTGGGGGAAAAAAAATAAAAATAAATAACAAAAACACTTTTTAAACCCAATTACATTTCTGCAGTGAAGCGTTCCCAAGTAGACGCGTGCAAGAGGACGACTCCGAGGTCAAGAACTGGGCTGATGGGGACAGACGCATCAATGGAAATGGGGCCAAAACAGACCCCCAGAAAAGTGGGTTTTGTGTTTTTTTGTTTTTTTTTCTTCTTTTTTTTTTTTTTAAAGAGAGATTGCAGTAGAAATCCAGAACACCACAGCGACAGGCAGATGAAGGAGAAACATTATGAGAACCAACAGCTCGCTTCCTTGATCATTCCGGTGCTCCCTCGACTGTTTAATTAATATTTAAACACCTCTTTTTAACGCTTTTTTTACGTAAGTTTGCTCTTCCGTGGGGCTGCGGCAACGGGGGGGGGCGCAGAAATAAAACACAAGGGGACCGCTGACCGAATTAAAACGAGGAAGACCCCCACGATGAAGCATCCAGCAGCACTTTGGGGTCCGGATGGGACTTTTGGAGATTGGGCTGGACCCTCCCCAGCTTGAAAATAGGGTCGAGAAGCCCCCCCGTTGCCTTTTCCAGCTGGGTTCCCCCCTTTGGGTCCTGCCACCCCGTGAGCCTGTTCCGAAACGTGTCCCCATGGGTGGGTGACAGCACGGGACACGCCACCAGGCACCAAGGATTTAATTTGGGGGGGCTCCCAGCGCGGCCAGGGGCTGCCCCGATGCCCCGGGGGAGTCGGGGGGGCTCAGAGCTGCAGGAATTCGGCCACGAAGGCGGCGAGGATTTTGCAGAGGTCGTCCACGGTGGGCAGGTGGAGGTTGTCCTCGTTGTCCTCGGTGGTGTGCCAGACCCAGGGGAAGGGCATGGGGATGAGATGCAGCACGGGGACACCTGCGGGGACACGGCAAGGGGACGTGGAGCTCGGAGGGGGGGGATTTGGGGACAGCGTGGGGGACACGGGGACGTTACCGCGTTGTAGGAAGGGGACGTGGTCGTCCTCGACGGGCCCCGGGGGTGGGCTGAGACGGAAAAAGGGCTGGTCCTTGGGGGAGGCGTGCAGCAGCCCCAGGTTTCGCAGTCGTTTCTCTGCACGTTGGGGACACGGGGGGGGGGAACACGGAGGCATTTGGTGGCTCTGTGACACCCCCGTCCCCACCCCGTGTCCATCTCCTGTCCCCATCCCAGCCTCCTCGTCCCATCCGTGTCCCCATTCCCATCCCTAAACCCAGCACCCACCCTGTCCCCAGTCCCCACCTCACCCACCCACACCGACCCCATGCTTGTCCCCAAACCCACGGGTGTCCCCAGGTGCCACCCACGCCCTGTCCCCATCCCCTTGCCCCCCATCCTGTCCCCAAGCCACCGTCCCCAACCCTTTGCACGTCCGCAGGGCCCATCCACGCCCTGACCCCACACCCGTCCCCATGTCCCCACGTCCCCGTGTCCCCATGTCCCCATGTCCCCAGGGCGCACCGATGGCCACGAGGCGCAGGAACCAGTGGTGGGTGCGGGGGAAGTGGCTGTGGATGGCGGGGTGCTGGGTGCCCAGCAGGTCCAGCAGCACCAGCAGGCTCTGGGGACACGGCGCAGGGACATCAGCACGGCCACGGGGACACCACGTGGCCATAGGGACACCACCCTTGGGTGCTCCAGGTCCATCCCGGTTGGGCCACGGTGGTGGGGGGGACAACCTGGCAGTGCCACCACCCTGCCACCACCCTTGGGTGCCACCACACCATGCTGCCACCACCTTTGGGTGCCATGGAACTGTCCCAGTGGGGTCACCACCACCCTTGGGTGCCATCCCACCACCCTTGGGTGCCATGGGACTGTCCCAGCGGGGTCACCACCACCCTTGGGTGCCATCCCACCACCCTGCCACCACCCTTGGGTGTCATGGGACTGTCCCAGTGGGGTCACCACCACCCTTGGGTGCCATCCCACCACCCTGCCACCACCCTTGGGTGCCACAGGACTGTCCCAGCTGGGCCACCACCACCCTTGGGTGCCACCACACCATGCTGCCACCACCCTTGGGTGCCATGGGACTGTCTCAATGGGGTCACCATCACCCTTGGGTGCCATGCCACCACCCTGCCACCACCCTTGGGTGTCATGGGACTGTCCCAGTGGGGTCACCACCACCCTTGGGTGCCATGGGGCTGTCCCAGCTGGGTCAAAACCACCCTTGGGTGCCACCACACCATGCTGCCACCACCCTTGGGTGCCATGGGACTGTCCCAGCTGGGCCACCACCACCCTTGGGTGCCACCACACCACCCTGCCAGCACCCTTGGGTGCCGGGGGGGTGGGCCACACTCACCATGGCGGTGATCTGGGTGCCGTGGGGGCCGTGGCGGGTGGCAGCCATGCGTGCCGCCAGGTGCCGGGCGCCGTAGAGCGAGTCGGTGGCGCTCCACTCCTCGAAGGCCTCCTCGCCGTCGAGGAAAAGCAGCTGCAGCGTCACCTCCGCGCCCTGTGGGGACCAAAATGTTCCTGGGGGGGCCCTCGGGGGCACCCTGGGGTCCCGAGGAGGGGGCTGGGAGGGAGCCGGGTGGGCTGGGAGGGACCCAAGGGGCTCCGTGGAGGGTTGGGGTGGGGGGAAAGTGTCCTATGGTGGGCTTGGGGGGGGACCCAGGTGTCCCAGGGGGGGTCCAGGAGGGACCCAAGTGTCCTGGGGGTGTCTGGGGGGGGACCCAGGTATCTGGGGGGGGGGGTCCCAAGTGTCCTGGGGGTGTCTGGGGGGGGGACCCAGGTATCTCGGGGGGGGACCTAGGTGTCCTGGGGGTGTCTTGGAGAGGACCCAGGTATCCTGGGGGGGGACCTAAGTGTCCTGGGGGTGTCTTGGAGGGGACCCAGGTGTCCTGGGGGGGGTCCCAAGTGTCCTGGGGGTGTCTGGGGGAGGACACAGGTATCTGGGGGGGGTCCCGAGTGTCCTGGGGGTGCCTGGGGGGGGCCCAGGTATCTCAGGGGGGGACCTAAGTGTCCTGGGGGTGTCTTGGAGGGGACCCAGGTATCTGGGGGGGGGGGTCCCAAGTGTCCTGGGGGTGTCTGGGGGGGGGACCCAGGTATCCTGGTGGGGGTCCCAAGTGTCCTGGGGGTGTCTGGGGGGGACCCAGGTGTCTGGGGGGGGTCCCAAGTGTCCTGGGGGTATCTAGGGGGGGACCCAGGTGTCCTGGGGGGGTCCCAAGTGTCCTGGGGGTGCCTGGGGGGTGACCCAGGTATCTCAGGGGGGGACCTAAGTGTCCTGGGGGTATCTAGGGGGGGACCCAGGTATCTGGGGGGGGGTCCCAAGTGTCCTGGGGGTGTCCGGGGGGGTGGACCCAGGTATCTGGGGGGGGGTCCCAAGTGTCCTGGGGGTGTCTGGGGGGGACCCAGGTATCTGGGGGGGGTCCCAAGTGTCCTGGGGGTGTCCAGGGGGGGACCCAGGTATCCTGGGGGGGGTCCCAAGTGTCCTGGGGGTGTCTGGGGGAGGACACAGGTATCTGGGGGTGGTCCCAAGTGTCCTGGGGGTGTCTGGGGGGGGGACCCAGGTATCTGGGGGGGGTCCCAAGTGTCCTGGGGGTGTCTGGGGGGGACCCAGGTATCTGGGGGGGGTCCCAAGTGTCCTGGGGGTATCTAGGGGGGGACCCAGGTGTCCTGGGGGGGTCCCAAGTGTCCTGGGGGTGTCCAGGGGGGGACCCAGGTATCCTGGTGGGGGTCCCAAGTGTCCTGGGGGTGTCTGGGGGGGGGACCCAGGTATCTGGGGGGGGTCCCAAGTGTCCTGGGGGTATCTAGGGGGGGACCCAGGTGTCCTGGGGGGGGTCCCAAGCGTCCTGGGGGTGCCTGGGGGGGGACCCAGGTATCTCAGGGGGGGACCTAAGTGTCCTGGGGGTGTCTTGGAGGGGACCCAGGTATCTGGGGGGGGTCCCAAGTGTCTTGGGGGTGTCTAGAGGGGGACCCAGGTATCTGGGGGGGGGTCCCAAGTGTCCTGGGGGTGTCTGGGGGGGACCCAGGTATCTGGGGGGGGTCCCAAGTGTCCTGGGGTGTCTGGGGGGAACACCCAGGTGTCCTGGGGGGGGTCCCAAGTGTCTTGGAGGGGACCCAGATGTCCCGGGGGGGCACCCAAATGTCCTGGGGGTGTCTGAGGGGGAACCCAGGTGTCCCTGGAGGGGGTCCCAAATGTCCTGGGGGTTTCTGGGGGGGGTCCCAAGTGTCCTGGGGGGGTCCCAGAAGGGACCCATCTGTCCTGGGGGGAAATTTGGGAGGGACCCAAGCGTCCTGGGGGTGTCCGGCAGGGGACCCACATGGCTGGGGGTGACCTGGGGGACACCAGAGCACCCTGTTTGGGGTTGGGGGGGGTGAGATGGGGGGGGCTCAGCACCCACCCTATCCTTCGCCCTCCGCAGGGGCCGGTCGAGGGCGGCCGCCAGCTCCAGCAGCATGGCACAGGGCACGGCCGAATCGGTGGCCCCCAAAAAGGGGAGGCGAGCCGGGGGGGGGCCCGGTGGCAGCACCTTGGTGTCGTAGTGACAAGCCAGAGCCAGGCGGCGGGGGGCGGCGGGGGCCAGCGTGGCCACCAAACTGGCGAAGGCCACCGGCCCCCGCGGCGTGGTGGCCTCGAAGGCGTCGAGCTCCAGGTGCCAGCCCGCCGGCAGCGCCGAAAGCCGGTCCGCGATGTGCTGGGGGGGGGGACACATGGTGATATGGTGTTATTTTTTTTTGGGGGGGGGGCAAAGGTGGCATTGGGGGGGGGCTTACCTGGCGGGCGGCGAGGCTCCCGGCGCTGCCCGGGGGTCGTTCCCGTAGGAGGGGGCGCAGGAAGGCGTCGCGGAGGCGGGGGGGGTGCAGCCCCCCCAGGAGGGAACGGAGGTCCTGCTCCGAGGGGGGGGCCGGGGGGGGCTGTTTGGGGTCCGGGGGGGGGGGTTAGAGATAGGGGGTGGGATGCTGAGGGGGGTTTTGGGGTTATGGGCGGTGACCCCTGCAGCTGCTAGCCAGCAGGTGGGGGCACCCATGGGTGGGGGGCACCCTTGGGTGGGGGGGCAAGTGGGAGGGGGCACACGGGGGTTGGGGACGCCCGCTGGGGGGGAATTCATGGGGGGAGAACGCAAAAGTTTGGGGTTCTGATTGTGGGTGCGGTGCCACCACGGGGCTGGTGCCACCACGGTGGCGCTGCCATCGTGATGTTGGTCTCCCGGTGTCACCGTGATGGGGGGACCACGGTGACATTAGTGACAGCACGGTGGCGTGCCATCCACGCTGCTGGTGCCACCACGGTGGCGGTGCCGTCATCATCTTGGTTCTGCTGGTGTCACCATGATGGCAGGGCCACCATGGTGCCACAAGGACAATGCCACCACGGTGCTGCTGCCACCGTGCCACCAGGTGCCACCACGATGGCAATGCCACCACGCTGCCGGTGCTACCACAATGCCAATGCCAATGCCACTGTGTCTGTGACATACGGTGCCACCAGTGCCACCACGAGGTGCCACCATGCCACGGCATGCCACCACGGTGCTGGTGCCATGGGCATGCTGGGCATTCACAGGTCCACCATCCACACAGGTGCAATCCACAAGGACAATGCCACCACGGTGCTGGTGCCACCATGCTGCTGGTGCCACCAGGATGGCAATGCCACCATGCTGCTGGTGCCACCGTGCCACCAGGTGCCACCATGATGGCAATGCCACCGTGCTGCTGGTGCCACCACGCTGCTGGTGCCAACACAAGCCACAATCACGGACAATGCACCACGTCTGGTGTGCCACATGTCTGCACCATGCACCATGCCACAGGTGCACACCGGCAATGCCACCATCGCTGGTCGCTGCTGGTGCCACCACATGGCAATGCACCTGCAAGGCATGCCACCAGCGTGCCACCACCGGTCCACTGGGACGTGCCACCAGGTGCCACCATCCGCCGATGGCAATGCAAACCACGGCATGCACCCTGCTGGTGCACCATGCTGGTCCAGATGGAATCAAGCGCTGGTGCTGCCACAGGTGCCACCAATGCAAGCACTCCTGGCCACAGCTCTGCCACCACAATGGCTGCACGTGCCAGACAGCACACGGCTGGGAGCTGGCAATGCCACCAGTCAGGTCCACGCTGGATGCCCATCGCCACGTAGCTGACCCGGCAATGCCACCACGCTGCTAGTGTCACCATGCTGCTGGTGCACCACAATGGCAATGCCACCACGCTGCTGGTGCCACCATGCCACCAGGTGCCACCATGATGGCAATGTCACCACAGTGCCACAAGACAATGCCACCATGCGTGCTGGTGCCACCTGTGCCACTAGGTGCCACCAGGTGCCACCACGACTGGCAATGCCACCACGCTGCTGGTGCCACCACGCTGCTGGTGCCACCATCTGGCAGGCCACCAGGTGCCACAAGGACAATGCCACCATGCGTCTGGTGCCACTGTGCCACCAGGTGCCACCAGGTGCCACCATCGCTGGCAATGCCACCACGCTGCTGGTGCCACCACGATGGCAACGCCACTCGTGCTACTGGTGCTGCCACCATGCCTGCCTGGTGCCACCCCGGTGTCCCCGTGGTGTCCCCGGCAGGCGGTGGCAGGGGTGCCGGCTGGCGCAGGCGTGACCCAGTACTGCGTGGGTGCCAACTACGGGTGGCTGCTGGCCGAGGGGCTCTTCTGCACAAGCTGCTGGTCCTGGCCACTTTTTCGGGTGACCGCTGCCTCCCCGCCTTCCTCCTCCTCGGCTGGGGTGAGCCACATGTCCCCCCCGTGTCCCCAATTGTCCCCACGCCGCGGTCCCCAACCCCCGTCCCCAACCCCGTCCCCGCAGGCGCCCCCGTGCTCTTCGTGGTGCCGTGGGTGGTGGTGCGCTACCTCTACGAGAACGAGGGGTGAGTCCCTTTGTGCCCCCCCTCTTTTGTCACCCGGAGGGGACACCGCTGTCCCCAAGGCGGTGTCCCCAAGGGGGGGGACAGCGCCGAGCTCCGTCCCCGCTCCAGGTGCTGGGAGAGGAACGAGAAGGCGGCCGTGTGGTGGATCATCCGCTGCCCCATCCTGATGGCCGTGGCGGTGGGTGACACGGGGACAGGGGAGGTGACACGGGAGGTGACGGGGACAGGGGGGTGACACGGGGACGGGGGGGGTGACACGGGCACGGGGATGTCACCGCCTGTCCCTGTCCCCTCCCCTCGCCGCAGGTGAACTTCGTGGTGTTCGTGCGCATCGTCCGCATCCTGGTGGCCAAAGTGCGGGCGCATCAGGTGGCCCGCGGGGACTGCAGGGTCAGGTGGGGACACGCGGGGACACGGGGACACCGGGGGGGTGTGGGGACACCGGGGTGTGTATGAGGACAAGGGGACACTGGGGTGTGTATGGGGACACCTGAGCCTGTCCCTGTAATGTCCCCAGGTGTGTCCCCATCAGGGTAATGTCCCCAAATGTGTCCCTATGAGTGTCCCCATCTGTGTAACGTCCCCAAGTGTGTCCCCAAATGTGTCCCCATGTGTGTCCCCATCCCTGTAATGTCCCCAGGCGTGTCCCAAGATCTGTCCCCATCAGGGTAATGTCCCAATAAGTGTCCCCACATGTGTCCCCATGCCTGTCCCCATCAGGATAACGTCCCCAGGTGTGTCCCCAAGTGTCCCCACGCGTGTCCCCATCCACATAATGTCCCCAAATGTGTCCCTATGAGTGTCCTCATCTGTGTAATGTCCCCAGAAGTGTCCCCAGGTGTGTCCCCATCCCTGTAATGTCCCAAGAAGTGTCCCCAAGTGTGTCCCCATGCCTGTCCCCATCAGGATAATGTCCCCAGGTGTGTCCCCATGTGTCCCCACGCTTGTCCCCATCCACATATCGTCCCCAAATGTGTCCCTATGAGTGTCCCCATCTGTGTAGTGTCCCAAGAAGTGTCCCCACATGTGTCCCCATGCCTGTCCCCATCAGGGTAATGTCCCCAAATGTGTCCCTATGAGTGTCCCCATCCACATAATGTCCCCAAGTGTGTCCCCACATGTGTCCCCAACCCTGTAGTGTCCCCAGAAGCGTCCCCAGGTGTGTCCCCACGTGTGTCCCCGTCCACATAACGTCCCCAGATGTGTCCCTATGAGTGTCCCCATCTGTGTAATGTCCCCAGAAGTGTCCCCACGTGTGTCCCCATGCCTGTCCCCATCCACGTAACATCCCCAGGCGCATTTCCCGTGCCCATAAGCTCCCCGAGCGCATCCCCACCCATGTCCCCACGCGTGTCCCCGTCCCCGAGCGTGTCCCCACGCGTGTCCCATCCCCGAGCGTGTCCCCCGGTGTCCCCACAGGCTGGCCAAGTCGACGCTGACGCTGATCCCGCTGCTGGGGGTGCACGAGGTGGCCTTCGCGCTGGTGGCGGAGGAGCAGGCGGGCGGCACCGTGCGCCTCGTGCGCCTCTTCCTGCAGCTGCTGCTCTCCTCCAGCCAGGTTGGGGGGTCGTGGGGGGGGGCAATTGGGGTCGTGCGGGGGCAACTGGGGTCTGGGAGGGCAATTGAGGTCGTGGGGAGGGGTGTGGGGGAGAATGGGGGGGTGGAAGGGTAGGGGGGCGCAATGGGGGGGCGTGGGGGGGCGCAGGGGGGCAATAGGGGGGTAATGGGGGGGCAACGGGTAGTGGGGGGGCAACTGGGTCGTGGGGGGGCAATTGAGGTCGGGGGAGGGGGGTGGGGGAGAATGGGGGAGGTGGGAGGGGCAGGGAGGGCGCAATGGGGGGCGTGAGGGAATGGGGGGAATAGGGGGGCAATGGGGGGTTATGGGGGCGGGGGGGCAGGGTGGACGGGGGGGGGCAATGGGTCGTGGGGTGGGGTGTGGGGGGGGGAATGGGGGGGTGGAAGGGGCAGGGAGGGCGCAATGGGGGCGTGGGGGGGCGCAGGGGGTGCAGTGGGGGGGTCTGGGGGGGCAATGGGGGGGTTATGGGGCGTGGGGGGGTCGGGGGGGGGCCGGGGGGGGCAATTGGGGTTGTGGGGGGGCAATTGAGGCGTGGGGAGGGTGTGGGGGGAATGGGGGAGGGGGGAGGGCAGGGAGGGCGCAATGGGGGGCGTGGGGGGGCGCAGGGGGGGCAATAGGGGGTAATGGGGGGGTTATGGGGGCGTGGGGGGGGTGGGGGGGACCGGGGGGGGCAATTGGGGTCGTGGGGGGGCAACTGGGGTCGTGGGGGGGTGTGGGGGGAAATGGGGGGGGTGGGAGGGGCAGGGAGGGCGCAATGGGGGGCGTGGGGGGGCGCAGGGGGGCAATGGGGGGGTAATGGGGGGGCAAGGGGTGCAGGGGGGCAATGGGGGGGCAATGGGGGGGCAATGGGGGGGGGGCAGAGAGGTCAGGCAGGGGGGTGCCCCCCCCCCCCCCAAGCCCCAGGTGCCTCCCCCCCAGGGCCTCATCGTCAGCATCCTCTACTGCTTCGTCAACAAGGAGGTGCGTGTCACGACATGTCGCGACACGGGGGGGGGGGGACACGACATATATCGCGACATATCGCGACATATCGCGCCGCCTCGGGCTGTGCCGCGCCCTGTCGTGACATACCAGACCCTGTCACGACTCGTCGGGCGTAATATCGCGATATGTCGTGACCTGTCGCCGTGCCCTCCCCCCTCCAGGTGCAGGCGGAGGTGCGGCGCGGGTGGCAGCGGTGCCGCCTGGGTGCCCCTGCCCCCCAAGACCCCACCGGGGACCCCCCGGGGACCCCCCCGGGGTCCCCGCCGCTATGTGGCCGTGGGGGGGTCTCGCCCGGTGCCCCGCGACTCCGGGGGGCACCCCCTGGCTGAGAGCTGCTGCTGAGGGGGGGGGGGGGCTGACACCTTTGGGTGCTGGGGGGGGTCCCTGACACCTTTGGGTGCTGGGGGTCTGGGGGGGGGCCCAACACCTTTGGGTGCTGGGGGGTCCCTGACACTGTAAGGTGCTGGGGGAGGGGTCTGGGGGGGCCCTGACACCTTTGGGTGCTGGGGGGGGTCTGGGGGGGGTCCTGGACACCTTTGGGTGCTGGGGGTCTGGGGGGGTCCCTACCACCTTTGGGTGCTGGGGGGGTCCTGACACCCTGAGGTGCTGGGGGGGGTCTGGGGGGGGGGTCCTTGACACCCTGAGGTGCTGGGGGGGGGGGGGTCTGGAGGGGGGGTCCCTAACACCTGTGGGTGCTGGGGGGGGGGGGGGTGGTCCCAGGGTACCCCGGGCTGCTTGGCCCCAGCTTTGTACCCCCAAAGAAAGCTGTGACGTAATGCAGTGGCTCGTGTGACGTCATATCTTCGCCGAGGGGGGGGGGAGGGGAGAACACACTGGGGGGGGGTGGCACCACCCTAAGGTTACCCCCAGCTGGGGACTACATCTCCCAGCATGCATCTGTGCGCATGCGCAGTGGCGCCAGGTAACTCGCCTTTCGCACTGCGCATGCGCAGAGTCAGCCGCTGGGCAGGGAACTACAATTCCATCAGCCCCTCCCGCGGCGCATGCGCAGAGCGCGGCGGCCGTGCGCATGCGTGAGGCACCCCGGAAGCGGCGCGGAGAGGCGGAGCGGCCGCGCCCGGCACCTGCCCGGTGAGCGGGGGAGGGGCGGCGGGGCCGGGCGGGGCCGGGCGGGGCCCGGAGCCGGGGCGGCGGCGGGGTAACGGCGGCGGGGAGCGGAGGGACCGGGGCTGCGGCCTGCGGGGCCGGCCGAGGCCTGCTTCGGCGGCGGGGCCCGGTAGCGGCGGTGGGGGCGGCTCCGGGCCCGGGGCCCGCAGCGGAGGCTCGGGGCGAGGACCGGGGCCGGGCCCGGGGCGGGGGCGCGCGGGGGCCGCGGCGCGGGTTCGTCCCCGGGGCCCTGGGAGGGCGGGGGGGAGGAGGCCCCGCCCCCTCCCGCTTGGCCCCGCCCCCTTTCTCCTGAGGCCACGCCCCCGCGCCAGCTCCCCGCCCCCCGCCCGCCGCCGCGCTGCCGCCGTCCATATATGGGCATGGCCCGAGCGCGGCCCCCTGATTGGCTGCGGGCCGCGCGCAGCCCCCGCCGACAAACGGCCGGCGGTTAAAAGGGCCGCGCGGCGCGAGCCGGACGGGGCCCACCCCCCGCGCGGCCACCGCGGCCGCTTTAAGAGCCGGGCCCCTCCTCCCTCTCCTCCCCCGGCCGGAGCCGGCGGCGCCGGTGAGGGGGCGGGGCGAGAGCGCGGAGGGGGCGGGGCTTCGGGCAGGTGCGCGGGGGGCGGGGCTTAGGGGTTGGGGGCGGGGTTTAGGTGTTGGGGGCGGGGCCTGGGGCAGGTGCGCGCGGGGGCGGGGCTTGAGGTGGGCGTGGCTTAAGGGGGCGGGGCCTGGGTGGGCCCATTCATGGCCCCGGCCCAGCCCCATTCATGGCCCCCTCCCAGCCCCATTCATGGCCCCGGCCCAGCCCCATTCATGGCCCCCTCCCAGCCCCATTCATGGCCCCGGCCCAGCCCCATTCATGGCCCCGGCCCAGCCCCATTCATGGCCCCGGCCCAGCCCCATTCATGGCCCCGGCCCAGCCCCATTCATGGCCCCCTCCCAGCCCCATTCATGGCCCCGTGCAGCCCAGTGACCCCAGTAACGCCCCCACCGGCCCCATAGCGGCCCCAGACTGGCCCCAGGAGCCTTGCCCTGTCCCCATACATCCCTCCCAGCCCCATATTGTCACCTTCCTGTCCCCCCAGCCCCATACTGACCCCCTGCACCCCCAACCTCACATTATCCCCTTCCTGGTCCCCCCCAGCCCCATATTGTCCCCCACCTGTCCCCCCCAGCCCCATATTGCCCCCCGTTCCTCCCACCCCATATTGACCCCTTCCGTCCCCACCAGCCCCATAGTGTCCCCTTGCTGTCCCCCCCCAACCCGATATTGTCCCACTCTCTCCCCCCCAACCCCATATTATCCCCTTCCTGTCCCCCCCACCCCATATTGTCTCACCCTGTCCCTCCCATATTGTCCCTTGCTGTCCCCCCCAGCCCCATATTGTCCCCAGCCCCATATTGTCCCCACCCGTCCCCTCCGACCCCATACTGTCCCCCCCAACCCCATATTGTCCCACTCTCTCCCCCCCAGCCCCATATTGTCCCCTTCCTGTCCCCCCCAACCCCATATTTCTCCCCCAGCCCTATATTGTCCCCATCCTGTCCCCCCCCAGCCCCATATTGTCCCCATCCTGTGCCCACCAGCCCCATACCGTCCCTGCCAGCCCCATATTGTGCCCACCCCATCCCCCCCAACCCCATATCATCCCTTGCTGTCCCCCCCTCGCCCCATATCACCCCCTTCCTCTCCCCCCCCGCCCCATATTCCCCCATCCTGCTCCCCCAGCCCCATATTGCCCCCCCGTTCCTCCCAACCCCATATTGTCCCCTTCCTGTCCCCCCCAGCCCCATATCACCCCCTTCCTCTCCCCCCCCGCCCCATATTCCCCCGTCCTGCCCCCCCCAGCCCCACACCGTCCCCTCCAGCCCCGTCTCATCCCCCCCATCCCCGCCGACCCCGCTAACGTCCCCGTTTCTCTCCGCAGGCCTGGGCGCGGGCGCCGGCAGCTCGGCGACGCGGCGGCCGTGCCATGCAGCCCTGATGGAGCCCAACGCCTTCCCCCAGCTCCAGCTCTGGTGCCCGCGTCCTTTCGGCACCTACACCCAAAACAAGCCATGCCCGGTCCCCGGCCCCACCAAAAAACCTTGCCGTGCCCCCGAAGAACCCGTCGGGCCCCGAGCCCCTTCGGAAAACACCCCGCCGCCCCCCGCCGCCCCGCCGGACGAGGGCAGGGTGCTGCTGGACACTTGGTACGTCATCAAACCCGGCAACACCAAGGAGAAGGTGGCTTTTTTCGTGGCCCACCAGTGCGGCGGCACCGGCCGCGCCAGCACCATGAAGGTGAAAGGCAACTGGGGCAGCGAAAGCTCCAAAGCCAAGCGGCGCCGGCGCTGCCACCACCCCGGCAAAAGCAAAAACGGGGCTGACGGCGAGGGGGGCGGCGAGCCCCCCGACCTCCTCTCGGTGGCCGAGATGGTGGCGCTGGTGGAGCAGCGCACGGCGCTGGCCCTGCAAGGTTTCCAACCCCGGCGGCGCCCGTGGTTTTCATGGAGGCGGCCGGCGAGGCCAAAACCCCCGCGGCGAGCGCCGACTGCAGCCGGGTGGCCGAGGCCGTGGCTCACTTCGAGTCGCGGCAGCGCGGCGGCGCGCGGCACAACGGGCTCTGCCACCCCGGCGCCGAGTGCGCCGCCGCCACCGCGGCCACCACGGCCACCGCCGCGGTGGCACCGGCGCCCGGCGAGGTGCGCATCGCCTTCCGCATCTCCAGCGGGCGTGAAAACCGCCCCGGATCCACCCCGGCTGAGCCGGCGGCGAGCGGTGGGCGCCCCAATTGCGTTTTCGTGGGGTGCGGGGCCGCCGGTGGCACCCGCGCCAAGGACAAGATCACCTGCGACCTCTACCAGCTCATCAGCCCGTCCCGCGACGCCTTGCCCAACAACGTGGAGTTCCTCCTGGCCAGCGCCGCGCCCAAAGGGGACGGGGACGGCCCCGACGTGGACATGGGGTGCGGAGAGGGGACGGCGCCCCCCGGGAAGCCGGACGCCACCGAAGGAGCCGGTGGAGAGGCGTCGGCGGCATCGGCATCACGGGACTGCGTGTCCGGCTTCCACGTGGACGTGGTGGTGACGGGGGTGGTGGACCAGTGCGTCTTTTTCGGCAAGGACAGCGCCAAAAAGATGAAGGAGGAGACGGTGAGGCTGCCGGCGCCGCAGGACGACCCGCCGCCGGGACAGCTTTTCCTCCTACCGGGCGCCGAGGAGGCGGCCGAGGTGGGACCGGGAGCGGCGGAGGCGGCCGAGGAAACGGCGACGGCGGCGGCGCCACCGGACCCGTCGCTGTGCCGCTTGTACCGCCACGTCTCGCACGATTTTTTGGAGATCCGCTTCAAAATCCAGCGGCTGCTGGAGCCGCGGCAGTACATGCTGCTGCTGCCCGAGCACGTGATGGTGAAAATTTTCAGCTACCTGCCCACCCAAGCTTTGGCCGCCCTCAAATGCTCCTGCCACTACTTCAAATCCATCATCGAGACCTTCGGGGTGCAGGCCACCGACTCGCGCTGGAACCGCGACCCCCTGTACCGCGACGACCCCTGCAAGCAGTGCAAGAAGCACTACGAGAAGGGGGACGTGTCCCTGTGCCGCTGGCACCCCAAACCCTACCACCACGACCTGCCTTACGGCCGCTCCTACTGGATGTGCTGCCGGCGCCCCGATAAAGAGGCGCCCGGCTGCCGCGTGGGGCTGCACGACAACAACTGGGTGCACCCGGCCGCCCGGCGCGACGACGGGAGGTGAAGGGACAAGGACGGAGGGGACACGGAGAGGGACACGGAGGGGGGAGGGGCGCAGGAGGAGGTGGGAAAAAAGAAAATGTGGAAAAAAAAAAAAAGGAAAAGAAATGAAAGAAGGAGGAAAGGTGTGGAGGGCGTGGGGGGAAAGGGTCACGGGGTGGGGGCGTCGTGGGGGCGTCATGCCAGTGTGGCACCGTGGGGACATGGTGGTGGTGGCACTTCAGGGTGGGAGCTCCATGGGGTGGTGGTACCATGGGGACATCATGTTGGTGGTGGCTCCATGGGGTGGTGGCTCCATGGGGTGGTGGCACTTTGGGGTGGTGGCACTTTGGGGTGGTGGCATCATGGGGACATCATGCCGGTGGTGGCACCATGGGGTCTTGGCACTTTGGGGTGGTGGCACCGTGGGGACATCCCACCAGTGGTGGCACTTTGGGGTGGTGGCTCCACGGGGTGGTGGAACCATAGGGACATCATGCCGGTGGTGGCACTTTGGGGTGGTGGCATCATGGGGACATCACGGCAGCGGTGGCACCATGGGGTGGTGGCACTATGGGGTGGTGGTTCCATGGGGTGCTGGCTCCACGGGGTGGTGGCATCATGGGGACATCACGCCGGTGTGGCACCATGGGGACATGGTGGTGGTGGCACTGTGGGGTGATGGCACTGTGGGGTGGGAGCTCCATGGGGTGGTGGCACCATGGGGACATCACGTTGGTGGTGGCACTTTGGGGTGGTGGCTCCACGGGGTGGTGGTACCATGGGGACATCATGGTGGTGGCACTTTGGGGTGGTGGCACCATGGGGACATCATGTCGGTGGTGGCACCGTGGGGTGGTGGCACTTTGGAGTGGTGGTTCCATGGGGTGCTGGCTCCACGGGATGGTGGCATCATGGGAACATCACGCCGGTGTGGCACCGTGGGGACATGTTGGTGGTGGCACTTTGTGGTGGTGGCATCATGGGGACATCACGGCGGCGGTGGCACCGTGGGGTGGTGGCACTATGGGGTGGTGGTTCCATGGGGTGCTGGCTCCACGGGGTGGTGGCATCATGGGGACATCACATTGGTGATGGCACTTTGGGATGGTGGCACCATGGGGATATCCCGCCAGTGGTGGAACTGCAGGTTGGTGGCTCCTCAGGGTGCTGGCATCATGGGGACATCACGTCGGTGGTGGCACCATGGGGTGGTGGCACTTTGGGGTGGTGGCTCTGCAGGGTGGTGGCACCATGAAGACATCACATTGGTGGGGGCACCGTGGGGTGGTGGCATCATGAGGACATCACATCAGTGGTGGCACTTTGGGGTGCTGGCACCGTGGGGACATCCCAGCAGTGGTGGAACTGCAGGTTGGTGGCTCCTCAGGGTGCTGGCATCATGGGGACATCACATCGGTGGTGGCACTTTGGGTTGGTGGCACTTTGGGGTGGTGGCTCTGCAGGGTGGTGGCATCATGGGGACATCATGCCGGTGGTGGCACTTTGGGGTGGTGGCATCATGGGGACATCACGTCGGTGGTGGCACTTTGGGTTGGTGGCACTTTGGGGTGAGGGCTCCGCAGGGTGGTGGCACCATGAGGACATCACATTGGTGGGGGCACCGTGGGGTGGTGGCATCTTGGGGACATCATGCTGGTGGTGGCACTTTGGGCTGGTGGCTCTGAGGTGACATCCCACCAGCGGTGTCACCTTGGGGTGGTTTGGTGGCCCTCTGGGGTGGTGGCTTCATGGGGTGGTGACACCGTGGGGACATCCCACCAGTGATGGCTCCGTGGGGTGGTGGCACTTTGAGGGTGACAGCCCATCCAGGGACATGTCCTGGCCACGGTGACATCCCCAGCGATGGTGGCGGTGCCATCCCCGTGCGGGGTGACACCCAGAGGCAGGGCGGTGTCCTGCCTGGGACAATGGCCCCACTGGGGACATCCCATGGGAGGTGACATCCCCAACCATGAAGATGTCCCGGCGCAGGGTGACGTCCCCAACTGGGGTGACATCCCAGTCCGAGGGGACATCCCACTGGGAAATGACGACCCCATCTCAGGTGACATCCCATGGGGGTGACATCCCACCAAGGTGACGTCCTACCAGAGTGACATCCATCCCAGGTAACATCTCATGGGGGTGATATCCCACAGGGGTGATGTCCCACCAGGGTGACGTCCCATGGGGGTGACATGTCACCAAGGTGACATCCTATGGGTGATGTCCCACCAGGGTGACATCCCATGGGGGTGACATCCCATGGGGGTGACATCTCACCAGGGTGACATCCCATAGGGGTGACATCCAACAGGGGTGACGTCCTATGGGGGTGACATCCCCCTAAGGTGACATGCAAGAGGGGTGACATCCCATGGGGGTGGTGTCCCACCAAGGTGACATCCCATGGGGGTGACATCCCATGGAGGTGACATCCCATGGGTGACATCCCTCCAGGGGGGTGACAACCCCTCAAGCTGACATCCCATGGGGGTGACATCCTATGGGGATGATGTCCCACCAGGGTGCCATCCCCCAGGGCTGCCATCCCATGGGGGTGCCATCCCCGGCGGTGCCACCCCCCCGCAGGTGCCCCGAGGACGGCGCCACCACCACGTCCCCGTCCATGTCCCCATCCCTGTCCCCATCCTTGTCCCCATCCCCACTGCGCATGCGCGCCTCCCTCCTCTCCCCCGCCCTTCGGAAAAGGGGGCGTGTCCCAGCGAGCAAGCCACGCCCCCTCCATATCCAAGACCACGCCCCCTCCGCTAAACCACGCCATACACTAAGCCACGCCCCCTTTGGCGAAACCACACCCCCTTTCTCGAGGCCACGCCCCCTTTTCCAAGACCACGCCCCCCTCCCGGGTGGCCCCGCCCCCGCGCCATGCGGAAGGGCGCCGGAGGCTCCCGGAGGTCCCGGGCCGCGGGTTCGGGTCCCGGGCCCGGCCCGGTGGCGGTGCCGCTGCCGCTGCCGGTGCCCGGGCTCTGCCCCCGCCTCCGGGGCTGCCCCCGGCCGCTGCCGCCGCTGCTCCTGGCTCTGGCGGCGGCCGCTGTCATCTTCTACGCGGCCTGGCCCGCAGGGGAGAGGGGAACCGGAGGAGGACCGGTAAAATGGGGGGGGGGGGGGTGACCGGGATTGGGGGGGGGAACCGGGATTGAGGGAGGGTGTCTGGATTTTGGGGGGGCCCCGGGTTAGGGGGGGTCTCGGGATTTTGGGGGGTCCCCGGATTAGGGGGGGGTCCCGGGATTGAGGGAGGGTGCCCGGATTTTGGGGGGGGTCCTGGGATTTGGGGGGTCCCAGGATTTGGGGAGGGGGTACCGGGATTGGGGGGGGGTCCCGGGATTAGGGGGGGGTCCGGGATTTGGGGAGGGGGTCCCGGGATTAGGGGGAGGTCCTGGGATTGAGGGAGGGTGCCCGGATTTGGGGGGGGGTCCTGGGATTCGGGGGGTCCCGGGATTAGGGGAGGGGGTCCCGGGATTAGGGGGGGTCCCGGGATTAGGGGGGGGAACCAGGATTAGGGGGGAGTCCCGGGATTTTGGGGGGTCCCCGGATTAGGGGGGGGTCCCGGGATTAGGGGAGGGAGTCCCGGGATTGAGGGAGGGTGCCCGGATTGGGGGGGGGTCCTGGGATTAGGGGGGAGTCCCGGGATTTTGGGGGGTCCCCGGATTAGGGGGGGGTCCCGGGATTGAGGGAGGGTGCCCGGATTAGGGGGGGGTCCTGGGATTGAGGGAGGGTGTCAGGATTTTGGGGGGGGTCCTGAGATTTGGGGGGTCCCGGGATTAGGGGAGGGGGTCCCGGGATTTTGGGGGGTCCCCGGATTTGGGGAGGGGGTCCCGGATTTAGGGGGAGGTCCCGGGATTTGGGGAGGGGTCCCGGGATTAGGGGGGGTCCCGGGATTAGGGGGGGTCCCGGATTAGGGGGGGGTCCCGGATTAGGGGGGGTCCCGGGATTGAGGGAGGGTGCCCGGATTAGGGGGGGGTCCCGGGATTGAGGGAGGGTGTCTGGATTTGGGGGGGGTCCTGGGATTCGGGGGGTCCTGGGATTTGGGGAGGGGGTCCCGGGATTGAGGGGGGGTGCCCGGATTTGGGGGGGCGCCCGGATTAGGGGGGGGTCTCGGGATTTGGGGAGGGTCTCCGGATTAGGGGGAGGTTCTGGGATTGAGGGAGGGTGTCCGGATTTTGGGGGGGGGTCCTGGGATTGGGGGGGGTCCCGGGATTTGGGGAGGGGGTCCCGGATTAGGGGGGGGGTCCCCGGATTAGTGGGGGTCCCGAGATTCAGGGAGGGTGTCCGGATTTTGGGGGGGGTCCTGGGATTGAGGGGGGGGTCCTGGGATTTGGGGGGTCCCAGGATTTGGGGAGGGGGTACCGGGATTAGGGCTGGTTCTGGGAATTGGGGAATTGCCCCCCCCCAGGACACCCCCACCCCATGGGAGCCCCCAGACCCCCCCTTGCCCCCCCCATATCCCCAGACGCCCCCCCCCAAC